TGGGGATAGAGGGGTCCTCCAGGCTCCCCCAGTTCTTGGGCACTGGCCAGCAGTGTCTGGTGGATGCTGAAGTTACATGAACTATGTGTAAAATCTCTAAAGTCTTCAACTTGCCCAGCACTGGCCCCACTTGGCTGGTGGTTAGTCTCTTACCACCTGTTCCATGTGTTTTACGAGACCCCATAACGTATATCTTGCCCTCTGGTTTGAGATCTTTATGTTAAATAGGCTACATGAGATACAGCTGGCTTTGACTGAATGAAAGTCAGCATTCTTAAAGCCTTAAAAACTCAAAGACCTCACTGGTTATAACAGAAAAAAGAGATGATCTCAATTTGATCTTGCTCTGAATGATCCAGATTGTATGTGCTTCTGGTGCAACTGTTTCGTTCCGAGTTCTATATTCCAGAGAGCTATTTCCTGAGCTAGACTTCACCTAGAATGTTCAATCCCAAGCGATAACTGAACTTTCAAGATACATAGGACACCTCTAAGCCCCTTCTCAGAGAGCCTTCACACATTTTCCTCTTCTCTTTTCCATATGACCAATAGCGAGGCCACGTTAATTAACATTGGACTTTATATTTGGCTTCATAGATCATCTCAAAGTGGAACCGTTTTCTGCGCAAGCGCACAAATGACGTTGGGACCTACTGAATTTAAATATGTAAAGCCGCTTTCATCACTTTAGTGATGGATGGGGAATCACAATGCAGTGACAGGAAATTCCGGCCAGAGACAGTCCGGTTTCTTTTTGTGACTCCCGCCCTATGTGATTCCAGTTTGCGGCCATATTGGAAACACATGTGCACATGCTTACAGCTTTAATCGGTGTTGTATGTATTGATGGGCAGAGGTACGTTTTTGTCTTCTCCAAAGAACACAAATATGAATGAACTGTCTCAAAACTGTCTAAAGTGATTTACTAGTCTTGAGGTTCTTATCTTCAGAAGGGAGGATGATATAGATAGAAAATCACAAGGATGGCAATGTACACTTCATGTGGTTATTGTTTGTTGTTATTTGGATACCTAGAGATTTTTATTTCAGAACCTAAATCACTTCTTGTAGGAAGGTTTCCATTGATTAGCTGTGGTGCATTCAGTTCACTACATAATGAGAGGTTGTTTTTGTTTCTTATGGACTGCATTTCTTTCTGGTTTTCTAAAAAATTTGTTTAATACCAGGTTTGTACACTCCTAATTCTTTTTGCACTTGGTTGTTCAGAAATTGAATTATTTTCTCTTAAGCAGTGCTTAATGTGTGTGTATGTGTGCGCGCATGCACACTTCAGTTTTGATTCAGAAGTAGTCCCAGCTCAGAGGTGTCTATCCTGTCACATCCAGAATGCCGTGTGAGGCTGCCTGTCAGCTCTCACATACATGTGGTACAGGAGCCACAAGGCAAGGCATTTCCTGGCTTTTTTATGACAAAAATTCTGTATTTAAAATGTTAAATAAACTTTTAAAAACCAGGCACCAATATATATTTCTTGCAGGTTTTAATTACAGAATTTGTCCTTACACATGGTAAGGGGAATTATCTTTTAAAAATATCATTGTTTTGGGGAGCAGTATGTTACTTTATAAGCAGTGGCTTGTGTCATGTCAGAATATCTTTGGTTTTAAAACTTTTTTATTGCTTTTGGCTGTTAATTAGTATAGCACAGTGTGATTTCAAAATGATCTTGTAATAATATATTTAATCAATTAAAATGTTTCTCTGTCA